ATTCATAACCACTGCACTGCCAAGATTCCATGGTCATGGTTAGGGAAAGATAATATTGTGAAAATATGCATATTATCTAAAGCCATCTATAAACGCAATGCAATTCAGATGGAGATCCCAACTACATTCTTTAAGCAATTGGAAAAGCTTAATGATGAATCCAGAAAGCACCTCAGTGCATGGATAGACCCGGAGAACATTATGCTTAGAAATATTAGAGTCACAGTAGGGTAAATATTATATGAGACCACTGATAAAAGGAGGAAAAAAGATGAAGACTTTTATACCAAAGGGAACAGAAGTTGGAAATTGTCAAGGGAGAGAGGGGAAGGGCGAGGAGAAAAAGTAATGGTCAACAGTCAGGGATCAGCAAACTGTTGAGATGGAAGAGTGAACCCTGTCCCTCAAAACAATTTAAAAAGCAATTGTGAGCCATAAATATATTTTTACAAACAAATGAAATCACCATTATCTGAATAATATGGATGGATCCGTGATACCTTTATTTGCATTTTCAATTTTTCGTTAGAGTCACATGTATTTACTCAAAGATCAACATATGGCTGGAGAGCTGCAGTTTGCTGATCCCTGGGCTTGACCGTTGATGGGTGTTAAGTTGGGCGAAAAAGAAAATAGCTCCTAAGAGGGAGAAGAGAAATCAAGGAGTGGGTGAAAGGTGATTTATTAGGTGTTTAATTAGTAGTTTAAATTGTTGAATATCAAATTGATCCCTTGACATGTAAACCCTAACTCATTTATAATAAAAAGTTATTAAAAAGGAAAATAGAAGAAATACACAGTCACAGAACCAAAAATTATTGGTCTGTTTACTCATTTCAGAGTAGTATATGATCAAGGGCCGATAATATTGAAGGATGAAGCCCAAGCTGAATTGAAGGCACTGGTGAAAAACAGGTTTCCATGAACTGATGAAATGCCAGTTGAAATGTTTCAATGTACTGATGCAACACTGCTGGTGCTCATTGGCCTATGCCAAGGAATCTGTAATGTGGCTACCTGGCCAATGAACTGAAAGAGCTATGATTGGACAAAATTTACAACACTAGGAGCACCTTTAGCAAGAATAAAAATATAAAATTAAGATGAAACCATGCGATTTGAAGCACTGTCAGTGGATAACAATGACAACTCCGATAGGAGTGGAGTAGAAGGCTCAAAATGTAAACGAACTTTTTAGCCATGCTTTCGTTGTTATAATTAACTAGAGGGACATTTTCATTAAAAAGAATACATGTCTGCTAAAACATTGCACCCATTTTATATTGAGTCATTTTGGTGTTCCTCTCTCCAATAGTATCACCTGTGGTGATCTGATCCTTTGTACCCTCTTAGTGAGGGCACTGCATTGAGCCTCTCTGGTTCACATCTGCTTCCCCCATGGCTGCACGGCAAGCATGTAAACAAGAGAAGATGAAAGATCCAATGGCCCCTCTTTCTCACTTCCTGACTGCTCAGAGGTTAAAGCAGATCTGAGGTGGTGGCTATGGGCTCTTTCACATTCTTCATCTTTTCTCACACTCCTTTACTGGGATGTCAGCCTCTTTTCTTCCCTTTTCACCTACTTGGGAATTTATTTCCCACTGGATATCATTGCCTTAGAGACCATGACTCTGTGCGTAAGTGGATTCTGTCCCAGGCTGCCTTAACTTTTGGAGGAAATCTGTGTTTTAGTGGACTGCCACGAGGCCAACGTGGTCATCTTGCTCAGTGTAAACTCCTCGTTTGCCTCTTACCTCTTGTTTCCTCATCTTAGACACGTTCTCACATTTCCTCTCAGTTGAGCCTCACACCAACTCTACAAGCATGTATGATTTTATGTATTAAAAAATGTTCATTTTAGGAAAAAAATTTACAACACCAATAGCAAAGGTTTTGAAGGGAGATAAATTGTGCTTGAGTCTTAGAAAAGCTACTTAACCTTTCCAAACTAATTTTCTTCATTAATAAAATGCATATTTTAGTAGCATTCAAATGTCAGACTGTTTTGAGTTTTGATAATAATATGAGGATTTGTGTACAGCAGTGTCTGGCAGGCTATAAGTTCCCAGTACTGGTTCTGATAAAAAACAAAATTAAGAACAATTTTAGATTGACAGAAGCACTGAGAACATAACACATGCAGGTCACACACTCTCACATACGCTTTTTTTTATTAGTAACATCTTCCATGGTTGGTGCTATTCGTAGTTGCCCCTGAGTCGATTCTAGTAGAACAGAGCCGCCCTGTAGGGTTTGCTGGGCTGCAGCCTCTCTCTGTTTTTTTTTAAGTCATTTTATTGGGG